TACTTTCAATGGCCAAATTTAAGAACAGATAAGAGGCACACTAATGGGATCGCCGATCTCTGGTCAAATAGCCGAGGCAGTGATGCAGGCGCTGGAACAAATAGCACTTCCGATCGCGAGACCAAAACTTTGGGTACGATACGTAGACGATACCTTCGTCATCCTCAAACGTTCCAAATTGGAGGAAACACACGAACTAATCAACAGTGTGTTCGATGGCATCCAATTCACCAGGGAGGAGGAGAACAACGAACAGTTACCATTCTTAGACGTTCTCATACCACGGACTGGTGCTGAGCGATTGGAAACAACAGTCTACCGAAAATCTACGCATACGGACCAGATCCTCAACTACGGCAGCAATCATCCGGCAGCCCACAAACGCAGCTGCGTGCAAACCCTTTTCAAACGAGCACAAACCCACTGTAGCACACCGCAGCTGAGACGGGCAGAGGAAGATAATCTCTTCAGCCTGTTCAAGCGGAACTCGTACCCAAAAGGCTTCATTCTACGCTGCCTCGCATCACAAAAGGTTACTCAACACACCTCGACAAATGTACCAGCTGAAAAGACAACAACACTTCCCTATATCAATGGTATCTCTGAAATGGCAGCGAGGCTTTTATTGCCTTTTGGAGTCAAAGTTGCACACCAGCCAACGGAAACCATTCGCAGCAAACTCTTCAAGGTGAAAGATAAACTTAGAAAAGAAGAAGAAACTGGTGTGATTTATAAGATCTGCTGTCGGAACTGCGACAAGTACTACGTGGGACAGACTGGGAGAACGCTTGGCACAAGGCTACACGAACACAGCCTAGCCATACGTCGCCACGACCAGAACTCCCTGATGTCAGTGCACATGGATGCTGAGAATCATCAATTCGACATAGAGCATACCAGTATCCTCGGAAGGGCTAAAAGCCGGCAAGCACGTGAGTTCATTGAAGCCTGGCATTCAAAGCAGAACTCGATCAATAAGCACTTGGACATTGAAGTCGCTTACGAGGCACTGCGAACCAGGCCCCTGAAACCGCACTGATGATGTTGCCTAGTCAGGCAACGAAACGTCTGCACAATAATCAGTCAGCTCGGAGAACCGCCCAAAATCTACATCGTCGACGCCAAGCAGAGGAAGGTTTCGAACGACTATTGGATTCTCATCTGAGTATGCCCGGATCCTACTATTTCTAACGCAGCTGTAGTGGTCCTCTGCGGAATGTTGATTAGGAATGGCCTAAGCCACCTCCGCAATGATCGGGACGTGATGGAATTGACGAAGGAATTTCTTCTGCTACATATATTTCAATGATCCAATGATCTATTAAGCTCAGGCTTGATACCCTAGGCGGCTGTGAAAACGGCATTTAGCTCGAAACCAGGAGTTAGCCAGTTGCACCTTAAATCCAATGTGGTCTCTTACTAGATGGTAGTGATAACTTCATCCAACTGCCTATGAAGTATTTATTTTCATTGCAGCTCCCTAGGTCTCTCACAACCCACTTGCGAATGGACACAGAAGCCCTCGGAACTCTCGACTGGACGCACACAAATATATTTGGCGATTCTGCCAGTTCGAAGCAGCAGCCCACGAAGCTGGATCGTAGTCACTAAGGCAATCATTCACTCCTGTGACCACACCGTCCGTCAGGAAATCACCAGAATCTAGCACATCGCAATAATCAGTTCTGTGCATAAGCAGGTGGAAAGCGGTTAAGGCTTCCGTAGGCGATGAGGACAGCGCTCATCAAAAGGAGGATAATTATAGTAGGTCGGAGTATCAGCTTACAGCGATGCTGATGTTGCATACATCACGCATCTTCAACACAATTGGGCTACAACGACTTAAACGTAAACTGGATCTTCGCAGCCAGGATAAAAGGCATTCCTCTATATTTGGTCTGCTCCGTTCTGTTATTCGGCTGCAGATTCCGTGCCAAATTATTTTCCCCTAATTCTATGTTGGTTGTTTAATATCCCCGGTGTGTCAGAACTTGTTGTGAATGCGTAACACTCTCCACATCGATTACTGCTTCCAGTCACCGCCTTGTGTATGTCTCGCACGCATGACTCCTACACTAGACAGGATGCTGCTGCTGTACAAGCTGAATGAGTTTGGACCGGCTTCGTTGATGAAACGTGGCTTCTATCTACATACCTCCCGGTCTTATTCCTTCGGGTTTACACTGGGTATGGGGTGTGTGGGTGGAGTTGCGGGTGATGCGGAGCAAGCCACCCATGGTTCCTCTGTAGGTGCAGGCCTCCTGTGGCTGTCCCCATGGAGTCGCGGTAACAGGTGAATTCGGAAGCGGATGCCGCCAACCATGTCTTCTTAAAATCATCGCGACGTAGAGGATGTGACTTGGTACAAAACAAAGGTACTGACCTTTGTTTCACCCCGGTGAAGCCCTGAATTCCAGAGAATGGATGCGATCATTGTGGGGAAGAATGGCCTCTGTTAGGTTAGTTACCAAACAGATGGCGTTTGAATCGAGAAATAGGTACCTGGCTACCAATGGTGGAGATTACCTGAATTTGTCAAGCCAAATTGTGAGTAGGTCGCTGAGTCAAAGTCGGAGTGCGATCTCCCAAGGCAATTTCCCACTTCGGCTTGGACAACCGGGTATGTATCGTGCCCTCTGTAAAAACCATGGATTACGCTGCTACTTCCCTACACCCTTTCATAACTATTTCTCTCGCACATAACGAAACTCCATCATACGTCGAGCATTATTCTGTTATTATCTGGTTGTTCGAAAAGTAATTTCGCTTTTTCCCAACATAGGATTGGATATATTTTCAAAGCCAACGTCATATTTAAGCCACAAGTTTTTTATATTTTGACAGCTGATATAGAAAGGCCTGCTTGTGAAAAAAGTTCGATTGATTCCACACAGTATTTTTTGTTTGGTGCCCTTTCAAATATGAAGAGTGAAAAACATCATTTTCGGCATATGTTACTTTTTTACTATCAAAAGGTAAAATGCTGTTCAAGCAAGAAAACAAATATCCGATGTGTATAGAGAAGTTGCACTGACAGAAAGTCAGTACGAAAACTGGTTTGCAAAATTTCGATCCAGCATTAAAGAATTAATTAATTGCATAAATTAATCGGTCAATCAATTACCCCAATTAATTAATTTGTATGAATTGATGCAAACTAGCAAACAACAGCTCCTGAAATCGCTGAGAGAATAAATTTATCGAATTAGACTGTTCATGATCATCTTAAACATCTAGGTTTAATTTAAAAGCCGTACATATGGGTTCATCATGTCCTTAATGAAAGAAATTTGTGTCGTCGCGTTGACGTCTGTGATTTACTTCTCAAACCTCAAGAAAATGACCCGTTTCTTGAAGCATAACCTCACTGGGGATGAGAACTGGGTTGTCTACAATAATGTTAAACACGAGAGATCATGGAGAGGAAAAGATGAACTGGCCCAAACCCCTTCGAAAGCCGATATTTATCAAAATATGGGGATGCCGTCTGTTTGGTAGGATTTCAAAGGAATCGTTTCTTGTGCTTCTACCGAACAGCACGACGATCGATTCTGAAGTGTACTGTCATCAGCTGGACAGATTGAAGGATTTATTTAAACAGAAAAGACCACAATTGATCAATAGAAAAGGTGTAGTGTTCCACCAAGATAATGCGAGACCCCAAATAAGTTTGCTAACTCACGAAAAGTTTTTACAGCTTGGATGGGATGTACTAATACACCCATCATATTCTCCAGATTAGGTACCTTCTGATTATTATTTTTGTCCGTCACTACAAAATTATGTTTACATGGAAAAACCTTTGCATCAAAGGTGGTCAAAAATCACCTGCATCAGCTTTTGCCAACAAAGAAAGGGTTTTATGAGCGTGGAATCATGCAACTGCCAGAAAGATTGCAAAAGATATGGGACCAGAATGGAGAATATATAATTTAATAAAATGTTCATTCACTATTAGAAAGTGGTTTTTCATTTTCATCGAAAAAACGAAATTACTTCCCGAACAACTAGATACTCCCTGTCAGTATCGACTTAATTCGGATGTCAGTTTCACCAATGCTCAGAAAGTCTGATCTGAGGCTATTCTTTGATCCCAGGTCCTTTAGTCTTCGGCAGAGCGGGAACAGGCAGGTTTAGCATGTACTTTGAGTTCCATCAATAATGAGATTGCTGCATTTCTGAAGCACGGTTGATAGACCCATGTCATGTGCTTAAATTGACATCACCGAACAATCTACATTTGTCTGGTGACGCAGAAGCAGCTTATTTCACTAGTGTTGGAGTGGCATTAAGCAGAAAACGAAGGCTGCACTCCTGGATTGGTTTCCAGTTAACAGCCGACTATGTGCAATTGGGCTCCAATGCGTAAGTACGGTTAACAGACACGGCGCAACCTATTTGTGATCGCCGTTTATGCTCAAACAGACTGTAGCAGTGAATGAAGCAAGGACGATTTGTATCACCAGCACCGTCAGCTGTTACGTAGAGCCATCAAATCGGACGTCGTTGACCTCTCAGGAGACTACGACGAACGAGTTGATTGCCTTTTACCAGGTGAATTTCACCTGGGTGGTCATTACGCTTTCGGATGATGAAACTAGACTTCTTACTTAGTGTGAGGAGAACGGTCTTTTTCTCGGAAGCACAAAGTTCAAGAGGCGTTCTACCACCTAGCGCCCATCTTTACCAACCCAGCCTTGGTAACAAATAGACCACATTGCAATCAGTTTCAAATGGTAAGGTAGCACACAAAACTGCAGATCGTTTTGAACTGAAAAAGAAAAAGAAATGTGTCAGCTTATACGCCGTAACGGCGCTTCGCTGCCGCGCGACCACCACCAGTCGCGCGCGGGCTGAGTATACCGCGAGGACGCCCACCCCTACGCGGATTCGAACCGGTGACCTTATGGTTGGAAAGCAAACGTGCCAACCACTCGGCCATCGGCCGACTCGTTTTGAACTACTTACCTTGAGTCAGATCACGCGGTTTTTGCGATTCAGGAGGGAGGGGGCGGTGGAAGCCGGGGCTCGGAACAGGTTAAGATATCAGTCGGCTCAGCCGAACAATCAGCTGTTACTGACAAACGCACCAGCCTGTGGTCAGCCCACTGATATTGAAGACCACTAGAGTTTGTTACTGTATTCAATGCTACATTCGGACCAATCAGCCTGTGTGTGAACTTCTCAAGCCTCGAAGTCGGATCTCTACAAGGTCCGTGGAATTATTCGATCGGCCAAAAATCCCCCAGTAAACTCAGACTACAATAAACGTTGCTGCATTGTCAGTCGAGTGCGTAAACGAAGCTTCTGCCGCGATCGAGAATTCTGGTGATTCCAACGTGCCGCTTTCCCTGGAAATACTTGCAAGCTGCTCCAGTTCATTCGGACCAGTGGACAGAGGGGTCTGGTATTAGTGAAGTCATCTGTGGAGCGGGCAGGTCACAAATCAATAATTTGCAGAGACATACGGACAGATGAACATTTACAATATCATTTCAGTTGTTCCTCACCGTCCAGTTTTGCCCCTAGCACAGCCGGTCGCCTGCCATGAGCAGTGTCAAAAAAACACCAAATGCAGTGGACGTTTGTCTTGAGAACCGACTGCAAGCGCAGAGGAACTGTCCCAGAAGTGTTCAAGTAAGGTGACACGGCAGCTGTCAATCAGCTAACATCTCTATTCCTGAAGAAATGACAAAAAAGGATGCCTTCTTCTTGAAAAGAGTCAGTAATTATCGAAAACTTCAAAAAAGGTTCATGTACTCCATGCACGAAGCAAAGGAAACCAGTCTGACATCGGTCGCCTTCAAGATACTAGTGCCCATCATGCTCCGCTGACCAACACCAACACGTGAAACGAACTACGGGAAGGAGCAGGCCGGTTTTCACACCAGTCGGTGATGTGTGGATGATATTTTAAACGCTTCACCAGCTCCGCGAACATCGTCATCTCTAATGCAGACCAACCATCGTCGCCTTCCTGGACATTCGAGCTGCACAGTAGACCGACTTGCTTTGTGACGACTTCTGCTAAAGAATGGAGTTCTTGTAGCGTGTCGCTATACTTCAAGCAAAGTGACAGCCTACGACAAGCTTTCTGCATCTTTTTTCTGTCACTAGTGGTGTGCGATAAGGATGCTTTATGCCCCCGTTTCTCGGCAAGTTTGCGGTGAAAGATGTCCTGTTGGGAATATCGGCACTGATATCTTTTCAAGTGATCGCACAAACCCATTAGATTACACATGATATCTCGGTGTTCGGTGACGACTCGCTTAGTATGCAAGTGCTCCTTGAATGACTGGTGGTTGAAGAGTCTATGTGCTTCTCCCCGTCCAAGTGCTGTTACGGGGTTGGCAAACGCCCATTCCTCAGTGCACCATCGAATGCATACAGCTCGAACATGTGAACAACTTTGTCTACCTAGGGAGCTGCATTTCTGTCGACAACACAACTGGAGCGGAAGCATGCTTTCGCATTACAAAAACCTGGTTAGCTTTTGTCAACTTGAGGCATTTGCGGTGCTGTCGCGACATTACGCTGTCGTTAAAGAACAAGGTCTATAATGCCAATGTTCGCGCAGCACTGTTGTATGGATGCGAGTCAAGGCCGTTCCGTGTATATGGCATAATTGGTTGGTGGCCTTTGGCAATGGCTGCTTGCGGAGGATAGCCAGTGTATGGTGGCAACATCAAGTGCGCAATGATGATGTCAGGCACCGCATCTTGGGCAAGACGAGTCTTCCCTTCTGTGAGCTTGTTTTGTTATCCCAGTTGAGATGGGTTGACCACGTCCTACATTTGTCTAATGGGTGTTTGCCACACCGCGCCCCGTTTGTCGTCGTAATGCCACATAGTAAGAGGCCACGTGGATGCTAACCGATTACTCGGAGACAACATGAAATCATTGAAACTTGTCTAATCATCGCCGGCCCCCGTAAATCTACCCGGTTGGGGGATCCAAAGATGAAGAATGCCGGTGGCTTGTAACGCTTGAGGCAATGGCTCAAAACCGGATGCAGTGGAAGAAATGCACGCATGTTTGCGTGAACTTCGGATTTCAAAAGCGTTAACTCTCTATACAAAAGAAAATAGCGCATGAAGAAGACTGAAAATACCGATATCCTTTGTTTAGCCATATTATGGTTTTTTAAGGTTTGTAAAATAAACAGTTTTGGTTTTGAGTGGATTGATAAATAAATAAATAAATAAATAAATATATATATGAAAAAAGGTCTTCGAAAAGGAGGATATATGAAGTTGAATGAATGACCACACTATGAAAAAGACATCTGGTCAGATGGAAACATGCTGTAAGTATGTGGCAGAAAAGCGATCATACCAAAACCGGTACGTACCCATCTAAGGCGATCCAGCTCGTGTGCATTCCGTTCGCGCTCCAATTCGCGGTTCACGTAGTCCACAATGAGGCCTTCGTCTGCGCGTCGTTGTGCTTCTAACGCCGAATTCAATCGGGCATTCTCGCGCTCCTCAGCATCTGCCAGCATTGCTTGCAACTGACCAATGCGATTATGAGCCACCACAATGAGGGAGTTCAGCTCACCCACACTGAGAGATGAAGCGTCTGGAAACGACGAGGATCACGGCTTCGGATGAATCAATAGTAAACGCGATGAAACAACAGACGATGTATAGAAGATACGAAAAGAGAGAAAATTGAATATGCCCGTGGAAAGGTGACGAGGATTTTTGAAGTGGAAAAAGTAGGGTAATAGAAACGTAATACAGGTCAAACCAATATATTCCATCCATAAAAAGGTTCATCCAGTGGGCCGATGAGATGGTAAATGCCATCTTGGTATCTAGTGAGGAGAGTTGGCTCCCTTAGGACTTATCCTCAACATCGCATGGCATCGAATGCGAATCGCCACATCTGAAGCGCTGGCCAAAGGTCAGTGAACCGAAATTCATGCATCTCGCCTTTGCACAATGAGATATGAATGTCATGTACGTGTAAATAAGGCATTATTGCATCTGTGAGTCATGGGACGTGCGGCGCGCACCTGCGAATGTGCCACCGGGCCATCGAATTGCAAGTACTGCGTCAAAAGAATGGGTCAGAAGGAATGGAAACCGTTGGAAATCAGGTCAAGCAATTGAGCTGGTATGCCAGCTGCGTGTCGCCTATTCACACATATGACCGTCGATGTTTTGAGAACCGCTACAGATCGGTCTCAGACAGCAGATGAAGTGGAAGTTACATCACAACAAATTGGGTGCTTAAGGAGACAGGTGATAATGAAACGGTGTGAAATACCTTGAAATTAAATCAGAGGAAATGGCTAGTGTGATCATCACTGACACCCGATCCGACCTCAAAGACAGACATTTATTCGAGAGCAAATGCATACCTTTTGATAGTTTGTTTAGATCTGTGCTTTCCCAGATGGAGTGCAAATCTTTCTGCAGTGTTCCGTGAGTTTTCGAAATAAGATCTCGATAACGCATTAACATGTGCAGCTCATTTTGTAATTTTCGGACCTTAAAAAAGGAAGGATGAAGCCAGCGGATGGTGAGACAACGTTGGTGACACAGCTAAGTGAAGAACACGCGAGGAAAAATCAGATAGACAAATGAAGTTTGTGCATAAGATGAAGAACAGCCGATGATTTCGAATTGAAGGCCACCACACTTGAAGGGATTGTGATCAAAGCGACCTTCCAGACTATTGAATCATACGAACCCAAAGAGAGGGTTTAAATGTCCATGGTAAATACCACGTAAGCAACTGTGAACTGGCAGACATATTGGCGACGTAGGTTCCTCACTTCGGTGGTTGCGTGCAGCAATGGTCTGGTTTGATTAAAGAGGGAAATCATGTGACTTCCATGGCTCAATCTCGGGGTCAAACTACTCAGAAAGACGATTGTCAGCTGAAGAGACATGCCGATTCGATGAGTTAATAGTAATAGTAATAATAACAATAATTTTCCAAGCAAGAGCGAGTGAATGCAGTACGGAAGAATGAAGATGCTGAGGATGAGCTGTGAAACCATGGCTTCACTGTGCGCAAGAGTCGAACGGAAGCTCTAGAATCGATCGAAAGCACTGACAGAAAGGGAGAATGGATAGGACAACTTTGCGAAAAACGAATAGGATCAAAAACAATCAAGAAGAGCCGAAATGTGGTGGATTCAGCTGTGTTAACAAAAGCGAAGAATAGTGTTATCAAACGAACCACTGATTGGATGAACTGCACCGCATTCGAAAAGGTAGTTAGCAAATAAAGTGACCGACCCAGGTGAACAATTTGAGTAAGAATACTTAAACTAATCCAGCCGCCTTTCATAAAAGTTCGCTATATCCACAATATTAAATGGCTAATCAAGGCCCTCCGAACACACACACACAACATTGACAGAAGACACATAGAAGCAAACAGTCACAGAGGTGCAGTCGGCTCGAGTTTAGCAGAGGATTTAATGTGGCGGCAAATAACAGATGACACTCAGCACATAACGCACTCGGTGGTCCCACTAGGTTGCAGTGATGTAGCACAGACGGAAACGGTACTCAAAGATGATCGACGTGTCACATACAATGACTACACCTCTAGTCTACATCGCACCAGTAGACACACTCAGGCACTGTACACTCTTGCTCATCCATCGACAGTTCGGCTTAGTTAAACCACTATGATCCGGCAAGACTAGCAGCGGGGCACAGCAATGTACAGACCGAGACATGCAGAGCTAAGTGTAAGATAAAGTGAGGGCGCCTGAGTAGCAACTGAGTTCGAAGGGCGTTATGTTAGCCGCGTACTATATGTGCAACAGTAGGCCAGTAAGAATCCACGAACAGAAAATCGAGTCACTTAGGATCACATCGATCACACAGACCGATGCGCCCAGATTGTTATTACGAACTCAGGGATGAGTCAACGTGGGAAGGCACGTAACGTAGGGAATCGCGATGCAAAGTTTGGTGGAAAGAGTTTCCAGGAAAACGATAGGAAACGGCCCGTTGCCCCTAAGCTGGAAGTCGAGATGGATCGACATTTGAAACTGCCCAGCGTATGCATGAATGAGAACATTCTGTAAAATACGCCCAGGAATTTTGGCTGTTTTACATACAGTCTGCGTTAGTCAGTCTGGCGAACTCTGTATCACGCCGAAACGGCACCGGACAGTCACCAGTGGTCTTAGTGAAACCCGAGATGCTGCAACAAATGGAAAGTAAAGCTTTTCTGTGCCTCAAGGGAAGATTTATAAGAGGGAAAGAAACGGGAGAATGGATAGTTCAACTGGATCGAAAGCGCTCCCGAGATCCAGGAAAGTTGGCCAACGGCCCGTGTGAAGTCGCTTCAACACTCAGCATAGTGTAAAATTGATTTATGAGCCGCAGAAATAAAGTCGATAAACGAGGATTCAATCCTTGGTCTGCATATGCTGTTCATTCCAGCTCAACCTGTGGTCGCTAAATTATGTTCCCAAGAAGAGTGCGACTAATATCGAGAGGGTAAGTCAGGTACAACTAGTTCGGTAATCCAGTGAGAGCTATGGATTTCAGTTTGTCAGAAGCAACACAGGTGAATCCATAAGGAACCCAGTGTGAGTGAAGGTAGTTAAGCTGCTTTAGAAAACAAAGGTCAAACGAAGCTGTAGATCAGATGGTTGGTCTGATGGGAATGGTAGCAAGATCTGAACAGTTGAAAAAGAGACATCAGTAGTATTTTGTTTTCGTATGCAGTAAACAGCGTGATCAGTATAACACTACGCGGACACCGATTCAGGATAGAAGTGAGGTTAGAAAAGGGGGTCGGCGTAGCAGTAGGCTGGAATGCTAAAAGAACATCAGTATCCAAGCATGAAAACGAGTATGCTACTTGTACATAGCCGTCAGGTTAAATATCTGATTACAAGGCAGTAGGGATAGGACAACAGTCACGAAGAAAAGTTAATTCTACGGAAAATGAGTGGCATCTCCTTTTCAGTCGCAAACTGGGAAAATTAGAGGACCGCAACTGTTTGACATCTGACCAGCGACCAATTGAGTATAAGCAACTTTTAACGCACCGAAGAACATCAACGTATATAGCTCGATGAGTCGGAGAGGTATGCGGACACTTGCGCCACAAGACAATGTGGATCTGTTATGATTGAATCGTTGTGTTCGCAGTAAACCGAATCTTGCGGTGGAAGTCCAGAATCACTTCGACCAGGGTGCTCACAGAATAAACTGAGAGTATCATGCCAATCGGACCAAAGACGTTGTCGGCACTGGGGATCTACATTATCTCAGTACTCGAGGGCTGTGGAGTTGAATACAATCACCTGACAGTAGAAGCATGCACACTGTGTACAAAATGCGCTGCCACCGTTAATTCCCTAGGGTCTATGTTCAAGGTGTGCGTCAAGCTGAGGTTGACGTAGCATGCTTCTCCACCACAGCTGGTCTACACCGACTTACACTTAAACCAAAGCTTCGTAATATGGACCATAGGTACTACACTTTATTTGATTTGTTCAGTTCTGTTATTCTGTTGCATATTCCGTGTCAATTTTGCGTGCTCGTTTTCCTTCGAAATCAATGTTGGTTGTTTGATATTCCCGGTGTGGCTGCGATTGATGTGGATGTTGACAAGTTGTTTAACTGCATAACACCCTCCACCTCGATTACTGACTCCAGAAGACTGTGAATCGTTGCTCAGGGGGATGGTGTGCACGGTCTCGTGACCGTGCTACGCTCAAAGAGTGATTTCACTCGTCTAGTGTGAAGCGGACTACCGCCCAGTCACCGCCACGTGTATGTCTGGTACGCATGATTCCCAAACTAGATAGACAGGCATGCTGCTGCTGTGCATATTGAAGGAGTGTGGGCTGGCTCCGTCGATGAAACTTGGCTCCCATCCACATGCCTCCCGGTCTTATTCCTTCGGGTTTACATTGGATATGGGATGTGTGGATGGAACTGTGGGTGTTGCGGCGCAAGCCACCCATGGTCACTCCGTAGGCGCAGGCGTCCTTTGGTTGTCCTACAGAAGTCCCAGTGACAAGCAAATCAGCAACCCGATGCCGCCAAGCACGTTCAAGGTATGTCGCAGATGTCGACCATCCAGCCATAATCCTCGATGATTGCGACAAAGAGAAGCCCTGTGATGGATACTTCTGGGTCAAATGCGTTTGAGATTTAACTTACCATATTTTACGAACTTAAGCCTTCAAACGTGTGCAGTGACCCAATGAATGGCAACCTGGATACACAAACGTGATGGTTGCCCTATGCGGAGCAAAAAAATTAGGTAAGTACTGCGCGTGCATGCCGGAGTGGTCATTTGTTTACGAGGAATGCGAAAAACAAATGCCAGAGAGGGAAACAAAAAGTGCAGGGACGTTGTCGAAGGGGCATCAGTAACAGATCGAGGTGTATCGTTATGAGAAACATGACGAAATGATAAGTTCTAAAGTGGGACGACCTGTAAAAGCAACTGAAGCAAGCAAAAATGAGTACAACAAGAAGTTAGCACAGAACAATTGCTACAGAATGAGACGGTTTACAAACCTCGTAGATCGATCCAGAGAGATCATATTGCAAAGTCCCGTGGGCCTTTAGCCCTTTCGGAAGCCATTCCGCTTCAAGGGACTCGTCGTTCAGCTTATGCTGATTAATGGACTCCCGAAGAGCACCCAGACGTTTACTACGGTGGAAAAGAAGAGTTGCAAGCGATACTGTGAGCAACACCAAAATGAAGCTTGTAATGGGACCAGACGACATGGAATGAGTGTGGTAAAGAAAAGGTTTTCTATGGTGCAGAATGCGAGCACGCACCCGGCACACCCATTATACGCCCACAGAGATTTGTCGGTTGCGGCGTCGCTAAATGTGGAGAGTCTTTCAGTTAATGAAAGCTGCCTACAGCCGACTCAGCCCAGGCTGAAGCGGTTAGGGAGACACACGATGAGTGAAGAGGATAGGTTTGTTCGACGAAGCGAATGAATTCTGATCTGATAATAACGGAACCCAATATGTGTGAGCCCGCTTTATGAACTACGTGACAAATGGATGAAACGTAAAAAATCGATCACAAACTTCTGCCCTGCAATCATCAAGCGGAGAAAGGGCGTCCGATTACTCAAGGCTGACGTGATATAAGGAGTCAGATCGAAGCGGTGGATGGTATACCAGAACCAAGATCCGTATTACATGATGATGTCACTAAAAAGGAAATTGTAGTCCCGACTGTGCGAAACAGTCGGAGTGGACAAACGGAGAAGAGTATAAAATGTGCAGTTCGCCGATGCAGAAACCCTATCGTCAAGGGCACATAGAACCACCTGATAATGCTCAAGCATATGAAATACGTATACAAAACCATGTCAATTTTTGTCGATTGTGAACGGTAGGTGCCTCGAAACGACTAAATTCGTATGCCGAATTTGCAGACTAGTCCAATGGTTCATGTAAGCAGCGTAGGGAAGCAAAACGTGGTTTAAGTTTAGCTAAACAAATGTGATGAAATGAAAAGAGAGAAGAAACGTCAATTGATACAAACGCAGCATAATAAACACAAGAACAGAGAGAAGAAAAGAACCCTTTAGAAAGAATAGGCTAAATAATCTGATTTGGTGGAGAGGACTCAAGAGTTGGAAACACAAGAGTGAATGCAGAGTGCCAACAAAGTCGGCAACGTGCCATATCTGGCGAGAATTGTAACAACTGGCTTGGAATTCTTGCAGGAAGACAAGGAGTACCAATGGGTTTTGAGAAATTTCTTTATGCCCTCTCGACATGGTCAACAACTATTCATTTCGGGATTCGACCGGGTATTTGGGACTTCGGCAGACAACATGCCGAGGCATCAGTCAGCGGACAATCGAAGAACATGATCCAGCCAGTGTAAGCGGTTCGGGTTTGACGGAGACCCCAGTACAATACAAGACATCGAACGGTAGAGACGGTTATCAGTCGTCCGTTATGTTGACCAGATGAGTAACACTACGTAAGCATTGGTGCTTAAACACGACCAATATCTTATTACCTTCAGTGTGAAATCGTGATAGCGTGGAATCATACCGTAAACACTGCAAGAACCGAGACACTATGCAGCTTAGATTTTACTGACAGACTGATGTCACAGACTGCCCCTGAAATAATGAAAAGCTGAACGAACCTTACTAACCCGTAGGTGCATAAGCTTAACCAGAGGTGATACGTTCAGGAAGTTAAGGTAACCGGTTAACCGCATCCAGATGATGCTCAATGATGGTAAGAATCGGTAGTGCGCTGCACTTTGAAGGCGCGAAACATGCGCCAAGGTGCGTACCACTACGTGTCAGACTTGGTAGGAGTGTTTGCGTAGCAGTTGTGTGCGGATCAAAGAGAATTGTGCAATTCATGTGATATGGGTTTGTCAGGGTTTCACGTGCCAGAAGAATCAATAGAAAATGTCATTCATGAGCATATTGATTACAAAGTTGAGAAGGAAAGAAGAAGTAGGACAACTGCGGCTCACCGCATCCGTTGCGAGCAGCTTTGAGATAGTTCTCCGTAAACCACTCGAGATAGGTTGTATAGCGTTTACAATGAAATGGATTTTCACCTGCACGACTTGCATAGAGGCACCACTATGAACTGGTGTGGCCGCATTGGTAGATGGCTCACTTCTAGTCGTGTAAGGTGACCATGGTACGCTGCAGATGCGCAAAATGTTGCTCACATCTTTGAACATTCGTGAACGCGCGTTCTTTGCGACAGTCTCAGTGTTTACGAACGCTTTCGATCAGTAATGAGATTCCGTCAGACATTGTGTGCTAGTGGTTTGAACAATCAGAAAGTGACTCTTTAACAGAACTACCTTTCGCGTTCCAAAGAAACTATCCGGGGTTAAACAAATTCATATGTTTAGGACACAGTCGCTAAGGCAGCAAGCGCAAGTTACGGTTGCCATACTGCCTAAGCAAACCAAACATTACGATTAGTAATAGAAAGTTATGGAAAACGACTGATTTGTTTGATAAGTAACGGAACTGCGCTGCGGTTGACACAAAGGTAAACGAATGGGCCATCTGCACTGGTCGCTAAGGTGATTGCGGCTCTTCAAATCATCAGTTAATCGCGGCTATTTCAAAGGATTACTATGAATCAGAAACGGAAGGTTAAAGAAGAAAACTGACAGTGTTTGATCCCAAAAGCGTTACTCATAAGGAGCAACAAATTAGTACCTATAATTGGCGCTTAGTAGAAGACTACTTATCCGATCGCGCAGTCAACTGAACCAGTACCACCAAATCTAGTTATGTCCTGCTTATCATGTGTTTAGCGCTTGTTTACCATGCGCATGCGTCGGTTGCAGGCATCGCATTTATTTGGCTGAAGATCAAGCAGGTAGGACTAACCTGTGTGAGAGGGAATTAAACGAGAAACCGAGTACGAGTGATGGGGGAAGCCCTTACGGATGAGGACTGTGGAGTTGAGCACACCATTGGTCTAACGCGTTGTGGGATACGGTGCAGTTACGAAGTTCCGTGACTTTAATTCGCAAGCAATTTATAAGAGAAACGCGGCATTTCGAGGAAACATTAACCGAGTGAATTTCATTGACTATTATTTTGTATTCATCACTCTGCAATAATCTTTATCATCATCAGCAGCTGTAATATGCTGCCACTGCGCAGAAATCAACAACGTGATTCTGCGCAGGTGCCGGATCTAAATACCACGGAGCAACACAGATTTACATCTTCTCGCTCTATAATTGCAGTAATCGGTATTCACTATCGCTATCATAGCAACCATGTCGATCCTATCCCCATAAACGAACTGTAGTCGGATAAATGAAGTTGAATAACTAGGACACTGTAAATGTGTAACCGCTGTGAATTGAAAAAGCGATACAAGTAAGGCTGGAGGTGCCAACAGAGCACCACCTGAGGTGGCTGAGTGGAACAAGCCCGAACTCGTTGTGACTGGGACGATGTGTGGCCTAAAACACAACTTGAATCGACATAATAGCAAAACATCGATGAAGCTGCACTACGACAGGACACGACGATCAACAAAAAGGGCGAAACCGAGTAAAAGAACTGCGAGTGAAATCCACTGGTGAAAGGTCAGTGTAGAGGAAGTGGGGGGGGGGCAAGGAAGCCTCGCACGGCAACTACAGGCACGTAAACAGAATGTGGACTTACGTGGCTTCCTCCACGGCTGCATTCGCTTTAGTTTCAGCTTTGTCCTTCAGAGCAGACAAGTGAGAGACTTGGTCCCACATTTTCTCTTTGGTTTTGCTCTTTAAAATAGGGAAATGAAGGGGTCAGTTTATTTGTCTGCAGAACGTGAACGCAGGAATCAGCCACATGGGTATATGATGCTGACCGAGCATGGAAAACAGAATTGGTGATGCAGGCCGTACGCAAAGTAGACGTATTCATCTCGGTCACAGATGTGAACGATCATCAGATGCAGAGTCAAGAGGAAAACTTTTTATGCGCGTTGGTGATTAGCACCTGCCGCTTTGAAGAGGTGAAATGCAGGCATGCGAATAAACGAATTGCGGTGTCTGAAACAAAAGCGTGCAAGTGATAATTCGTCTTCCCTCGAGCAAATTGCAATTAATGAGGGATAGGCGAGTAGCTGAATGCCGCACGCAAACACGTAGTGTGAGGTCTATAAATTAGACAATGAGACCACCGTGGAGAGAGGACTGAGGGCGACAAACCTGCAGTTTATTTCTTCAAAGACACAACAACCAAGTAGAAATTCGGACAATGAGGAAAGTTCAACGGGGAATTCCGCTGTGTAAAGGAGGAGCTGTCGGGACATTATGTAACAACCTGCGTAGGTGTATACATGTAGACCAACGAAGTGGGTAGTAACGACATGCGACTTCAAACAAACTGTTGATTCCCACTTGACGCATGCGAAACAGGTGTCTACTCACGACCGCTAGTGTGCGGGTTTTCAGCATTACACACAAAGTGGCACAAAGTTTAGGCCATCTACAATCACTAAATTAGGAAAAAAAAGATTTAATTCCAATTCATCAACAGTGATCTGTGCATTGTGTGGTGGCCACTTGACCGTGTGGCATAAAGGTATCAGGAAAGTGGACGAGAAACTTGGTCAGGCTAGTGGGCGCCTCATGATAGGCCACATCAGTGTTTGGAGACCATATCGAGCATGGCGTAAATGCGAAGTAAGTGGCGCTTCTGCATTTTATTCCTTAAAGATAGTTGTTAATATTACGTCCCAAGTAGTTTTGCTCTTTCCGTCCCGGTTTGTGTTCGACATCGTTTTCTCACCATTTCTATCTATTGTCATCCTGGCGTCATGTTAACTGGATCTACCGCATTTCAGTGTCCGAATCATAGTTATTTAAATGAACTGAAGTGATCCGTGCACCGAAGTGAGGTGGATCCAGTCGCTTTGACTCAAGTCGACAAAATAAAGATAATGATAAAGATAATTGCAACCTAAGGCAAACGGTTAATAAATAAAATGGTCAGAATGAAGTTGTGATGCTAATACAGGAGCGTCATATCCGATAAGGTAATCGACCACTGACGTAGCTAGCTCCGAGTCAGCATTTTCGTAAATTTCTTCGTGCTTTTCTTCCGTGGTATCGATCGGCCATCTTGTGGTTTCAGCAAACTAGGAGTGCTGCTCACTCGCTTCTCGAACTGGATATGTATCGTACGTATCAGTGGTCAGACATGGTTAGCTCCTTAAGGTTCTCAGTGCAGAGCATTCACAGGATTGATAGATACGGTGACACGGGCCGAAACGCAACCTTGTAAACGTTGGATGCATAAAGATACAAAGGAGAATTGCGTCGGTGACAGAAATATCGATAAATGGAGCGAATGCAATAAACCTCGGGGATTTGCTATCTCTCGTGCACTGATGATGTCACTGCGAATGGTGATAAAACGTTTGCAAGCAAAGTGCTCAGCTCCGCGAACATCACAACACTTGAACAAGCTTCCAGAGCTACTGGTATTTCAGGTGATTTCAACGGGAAATACTGCATCCTAGTCCCACATGTAACAAATGTAAGTTGTTTGAAGCCTGCTGACTTCCATCTCACTTATGCAGTTTATGAGAACAAGAGTAAGAAAGATGTACTTTAATCAGCTGATCTAATTCTATTTGACAAATTCCCATGCACTATGAGCATCCGGCAAATAAGTAACCCAGAGACGAAGGAATATGGACGCTCGGAGATACGCAACTATGGCTAAGTGTTGATGAAACATTATCGGTGTTCGGTCAGATTTAAATATCATCCTCGAACGGCCACCGCCTCACCGATGGAGACTGAGTGAACAATCATGTGAGTGTGCAAATTCCAGTGTTGAGATCAAACCTAAGTGCTGTAGACGAGTGACGAAGAGCGAATCTCTAAGAGAAGCGAAACATGCGTGAGATTCGTTAACTTGCCCGGAGTTATCCAAGTTATGATAACTAGTAAGTTTGGATTGCTGAAAGCGGTTTCCAAGTGGTAAAGAGTGGATACTGAGGAATAGAGAAGCAGAAGATATACGTATGTGTTTCTCCATCGGTATATTGTCTGGCACGCACGCGGAATAACCGAACTCATTATCGTGCACTGTCAACGCAGTTCGGCGGCGCGACGCCCAATTAAGGTGGGATGCGCTCTCAAAATTTGTAATCTGCAAAGTGGACATAAATGAAGTTCCTGGATGCAAACACCCAGTTTACCTCCGTTACTGTTTCGGGCAAACTGTCCCAATAATCTATCACCCGACGCTCAAAGTATAGAAGAAAAGCTACCGGTTTCAGGTCCAGCAAATCAATTGACCGATAATCGGAAAACGACCCGACAAGATGCAACGTAGACATGTATACGCGACATACAAATTCGGAGTCGGAAAAATGACTGTATTAGATAAAAACAACACTAAATTACTGGTATACACATAGTAATACACAAAGCAAACAGGCGTGGTAGCGCAGTTGAAAAATCGAACCCGCAGGGGCTATCCGCAATCATGCGGACTGAGCGACAACGACCAAGGCTGATTATATTGCCTCGCCGATATCACGCTACCCGAAAACAGTCAGAGAGGATACATCTTTAACGAAAGAATAACTCCCGGCCAAAAGCATACAAATAGGGGATGACCACAACGGTATCATACAATAAAAGACCGCACATCTTATCCGCACCAGCATAAAGCTACTGAAAGAAACGTATAAGCTCCATAAAGATGTAAACTCAAGTAACTATGTATGATCCGTCACCACGGTGTAATGGATTCAATCAACTTGAATCACGCCACCCGAACAATAATAATAGCCAAAAGGATAATAATAAATCAGGAAGAATAGCTGAGAAATAAGAGCGATAGATGGAGTGGTCCGGGCCTGAAAACGATCGCGTCACATCCGACAAAATGATTGACCAAGCGTATGTCCGAGGTTGAAAACCACATGCGAGAAAACGAGGAGTATCAACGCGGTGTAATCTTCGGTGAGTTTCATCGTGCTCCTCTGACATGTCGCCGACTTGTCACAAACCGGGCACAGTATTGGTAAATAATGTATACCGATGCGACCACCGTGCAGGAAGGTGGAGAGTATGACCAAGTTAATGGGTGAGATTCGAATTTAAAAGGCAGTCCAATGAGTTAACAGACGGCCTACTAAATTAGGAAGAGCCAAGCCAGGTTAGGTTTGGGTACTGAGGGCACCTTGAAACCGATGCGTAAACGGAATCACGTCTGGTGCTTCAAATAGGTTAAGCAGAAAGTGGAATGTCCGTTCACTATTCAAACGCCCCAAGGTGGGATGGGGGCAGGCGATCTCGAGTGCATTTTGTGCCGTGCACAGGAGGCGAGTGCAGCCCGCACGCGGATTACCCATTCCGTTCGCAAGTGAAACCGAATGATGCAGTTCAGACTGATATTTCTGCTCTGTGGATTGTAAATAAAGCTGACGAAGAGTGGTGGTTAGTTGACGCATGAAGAGCAGGCGTTGTGTTGCTGCACACGAAAGTATGGTCGAAGTCGAGATGAGCGCTCCCGATCGACCGCACCTTTCCATGAAACTGGAACGGGCACTGAACCACTGTCACCTTCAGTTTCGTGACTAATCGATGCAACCATCACTCGCATCCAGATACTAGTACACACTTTCTACTGTCTGTAGTGGTGAGTAATAATGCACTGTTCCACGAAGCTTGACTTGTCATTAAAGCAATATCGGAAAATGTACGAATGTGGTCGACGTATACTGCTGGACCCCACAGAATAATGGATCTTTGACCGTGCTACAACATGACACGATCCAACCAACCTTCTTATTGGGTGAAAAATACGGTGTGCTGATTGACTAGAACTCCGATCATAAATCACTGCGTTAATGTACAACCAACGCCGAATCTGTCACGTGAAAGCTCAAGAGAGCTCCGATATGCTTAATGAATATAAACCACTTCTCGTACCAAAGAGCTTCACCGAAGCTAGGGAAAAATGATAGGCGAAACCCACGGTATCAACGGCACTCGAGTAGACACAGTGCTTTCTGAAACACGAGGTTCCCTTTATAATTCCAAATAATAATATCAAATAATAATATCTAGTGTCTCACCACCAAGACTGAATGCAGGCAGAGGCACCTGCTAGTCTTGGAAGAGAGCCTTGCATTTAGATGGCGAAAAGTACATACCATACTTTGATGCTTCAATCGCTAAGCGGTTTAGTGCAAGTTGGACGACCTGTGGATCGTCGCCCAGCAAGACGATATCATCAGCATAATCCAAATCAACAACTCGACTACCTGGGAGGAGCTCAACGCCAGCGTTCAACGAATCGCCCAGAGCGTTCTTCAGGATATTCTCAATGGCAAAGTTGAATAGGAACGCAGAGATAGGGCCTCCTTGTCGAACTCCACTGGAGATCACAAAGGTAGGCGAAAGCTTGCCATAAGCACTAATCCTGCCCGAGGTCACACTATAGAGAGCGCTCAGGATGGAGACGAACTTCTCGGGGACACCATTCCTCAGTAGGCAGTGTCACAGTACTGTACGATCGACAGAATCGAAGGCCGCACGGATATCCAAGAACACAGCAATCGTTGGCCTTTGATACACATGGCGGATCTCGAGGATCTGACGGAGTGTGAAGATTTGACCGATGCAGCCGCGAACAGGGCGAAACCCAGCTTGTTTCTCTCGCTTCAACGATTCGAGAGTTGGGGATAGCCTGCAAAGTATGATGAACACCAGCAGCTTGTTCCTCTGTAGTTGGAGCAGATTGTGCGCAGGCC